GTGCTGAGGGGTGGAGCCCCCAAGAACAGATCCCCACCGGAGAGACATTGTGGAGGACATCCTTGCTCCACTGGACTTAGGGGGAAGCTCAGCCCCTGGAAGGAGGGAGCTGCCTCCCAGCAGGCCACTCTACCTGCAGCCCTGACCACCCCACCCCCATCCCTCCTTTCCTGGAGGAGGAGGAGGAGGAGGAGGAGGCTGTCCAGGTACTGCTTCAGGGCACCCTGGAAGGCATGGATGATTCAAAGCCAGTCCTGCCAGAGTACCTGGTACTGGGGCATACTGGTCATATCCCACCATTGGTTTAGATGGTTGTGATGTCTTCTGTCCTGAAGGGCACTTCAGCTGGTTCAGAACGCCACTTGCCCTGCCATTCCCAGGCCTGCCTGTGCCGCACAGCTGCTCCACAAGCGGTGATGGTTACCTGGAGGTGTCCTGGCGCTACGGCCCCTCCCCCACTCTGCCCTTGTTCAAAGGGGCCGAGAAAAGCTTCCTTGGGCTAAACTGGGCAACCGGCCCCTTGCAGGGATGATCGGTTCGCAAGAATGGTACGTAGTATGTCATAGTTCAAAATCCTGATTTGTATGGCATTTTTTATCTTTATATCCTCTCAGAGCCATGAAGTGTTGGGCAGGAAGGCGGCATTCACCCTTGGAGGCCCTGTTGTGGGCAAGATTGAGGAGTTCCTGCTTTGGGCCTCTTTGGAAAATACCTCTAGCAGAAATGGTGCTAAGAGAGCGAGAACAGATGAAACACAGAACAGCCTCTTTCTTAAATCCTAAACTCAGGAGTCAGGTTTACCCAGCGGGGACAGGGGAGGAGGAAGGATCTGGAGAGGAAGAGCCTCCAGGAATTGCCCAGGGGAGGGGGAGGTTGAGCAAGTGGAGAAGCTCCATTGCTCCCCCCTCCCCGAACCTGCCACTGGGAGGGGGGCCAGAATGCTCTCGGCTGTGTCGACCCCTGCCTTGCCCCAAATGCCGGCTTTGCTGCAGCCCCTTTAGCGATCAGCGGTGGGGGTGGGGTGAGCCAGGCCCCATGCAGTGGAAGTCATGGGGGCGCCTGGGAAGAGGGAGGCCACCTCCCCCCCCTCAAGCACAGTGGGAAGCCCCCCCTTGGCCAGCCTGCTCCCACTTATAAGCAGGAAGCTTCCAGGGAGCGGAAGAGCTTGGGGACACACCAGGTCAGCAGCAGTCTGGGGGGGAGGCAGCGACTGGGAATGGACCCCCTCCCCCTCCCGGGCTATTTTTGCCCCCAGGAAATCCCCAGTTGATTTTCCAGCCCACCTCCCTTTCCCCAAAAGGCCTGAGCAGAAACCTGAGCCAAGGTGGAGTGGTTAGAGTGCAGTACTGCAGGCCACTTCAGCTGCTATCTGCAGTTCGGCTGTTCAAATCTCACTGGCTCAAGGTTGACTCAGCCTTCCATCCTTCCGAGGTGGGTAAAATGAG